TCGCGGACGTCAACTCATGGGCAGAGGCAGCGAGGGCGCGAGCAGGTCGCGTCGTCACCCGTTCCCGTTAGCGTAGAAGGTTTATTTAAAGTTTGTTTCACGTTGACCCACGTTGTGCCCCCCCCCTCCCCATTGTTTCGTATGCACCCTCCCCCCACCGCCCCATCCCCACCACTGATTGCCACACGCGTGCATCGTTGGGTCGCGTCGTGACCCCCGTGTACCGCTCTGTGTGTGCGTTTGCGTGATTATTATTATTATTGGTGCCCAGTTGCTTTTGCTTCGTCTGAACAACGCGAGTGCGCGCGTACAACGTGTACGCACGCGCATGTGTCTGTTTGTACAGGCCCAGCTTGTTCGAACATGCTTCATGTGTCTGTGCGTGTGTTTGTGGGTGGGGAGCGGTGGTATAGTCGCTCGCCCACCAAGTTCGTTTTCCAGCCACGGATAACATCAGTGGTGATTAACTGCACCGGTTTTGCACCTCCCGTGGGTCAGCTCACTCTAAAATGAGCACCTGGTGCCGTGTGTGAACATCCGCAGTGGGGAGACAAAGGTGGCGGGGAGTGAGGCTCACCACACCACTCCACCGGGCGTCATGCCTGCCTTCCTAAGCGCTTGCTAACAGCACTTGCCCCAACAGCCTGTGTTGGCTTTACGAGGATAATCTTTGTCGTTGAGTGTATGTGCATCAACACACAGTGGAGATCACAGGTGGTGTGCATCTGCCAGTCATCTCAGTCAGACAACCCATGACACTCGGGTCTGCCCCGACACCTGCCAGCGAGACTTTGACACTTCACGCAGCCTGAGAGCCGCGTCTCACCCGACGCAAGCGTCATCGCTTAGTGGTGAATGGCGGCTGCTGTTATGGTCGTGAGCGAGTGTGAGCGAGTGCGTGTGTGCGTGTGTGTGCGCCAACTCGCGCTCGCACTCACTCGCATCGTCGCGCGCGCTCACACACGGACGCGCGCGCGTGACCTCCGGGAAGCGGAGAAATCAATGGACTCCGCCACGGTGTGAGCCCGGGCGGTGTGATGTATCGCGGACGGGGGATGACAGCAATTTATCTGTGACACTAGACTTGCCCGTCTGTCGATGCGGGCGGGGAGCGTTCCCTGATCTGTCGCACCGCGCGTCCGCGCTGACCAGCGAGGCTTGTTGTCTCTTCATCCTCCGGCGCGTGGGTGGAATTCGATTTGTTTTTTAATGTAAATTTTCAAAATGAATAGTCAAAAAAAAAACCTGCTGAATAGAGACGTCACCACCGTTACAGTCAGGCGCTGCGTATTACTGCGTAAACCCCACACCCACTTGAGCGTGGGAAAGAGATTATATTATGTGGGGGTGCGCCCCCCCCCCGCACTAGTTTTTCTACACAGTTGGTCTAATTCTCATTTGCAGCACCCACGGACGTGAGTAGCGTGCGAGTCGTCGCCGGGCGAATCAGATGGAGCCGATGCTGGTGCTATTCCACTGGGAGGCTCTAAGCAGAATGCATTTTTTTTGTGCGGGCGAGGGGGGAGCCAGTGGTGGTGGTGGTGGTGGTGCCCCCTTTCAATTATGGAATCCTGCTGAGATGAAAGAAGAGCCGTTGCACAAGAGATCGAGATGTAGTGAGATTAGATAAATGTGGAGTGACGTAGAGACGTAGTGTGGTGACAAGAGGCAGGTAAGATCGTGATTAGATTAATTGCCTTTTAATGTTGATTAACGGTAAGTAGCTTGTTTTGTTGAGATTTGAATTTAATCTTGTTTCTTGCACATTTTTTTTCATGAATCCAATGCCCCTTGAGCTACTTAGGCACCACAAGCCTTTGCTTGCCTGCTTTGTGTATGCCCAGCGCCGCCACTGGATGTAACACATTCGGGCTCGTGGAAAATGATTTTTTATTTACTTTTTGTTATTTTTGGACATTATTAATTGCCGGAGACAATTAAGAATGACACCTTCCAATGAATCGGCCATCACCGCTCGCCAAACCTAATTGCAGGTAACGATCGCGAGCCCGTTAAGCGTTGTCATAAGATTTCCCGTGATCCCGCCTAATCCCAGCCAGCCACTCCGACAACGGGATTTCTGAACTTTTCGTGTTTTTTTTGTGGTATATATATAAAATCAACGTCATCGGCCCATCCCCGTTTCTCGTTGTCTTTTGTTTTCTTCTTTCCCACCCACACTCTCGCATTCCGATCGGTGCCAGCGAAACGCTCCCCCCCCCCCCCCCCCCCCGTTGCCAAACTGCTTGTACGGGAGAAATGTTCGCGAGGGATAAATTCAAGAGGCAGGATCATTGAGGTTTAATCGCGGGAAAGCGGCGGCATTAGTTGGCTGGGAAATCTCGGGCTTCCCACTGCGAACCTAATTAAGGGACCATTATTACGGGCAGACACTGATCCTAATGATGCCAGCCGCATAACGCAGTCGATTAAATGCCAAGGTAAGCAAAACATAAAAAGGACATTAAATGTGCCCCAATGTTAAGGGTGCTGTTAAAAAATGTGCTTTTGGCACCTAAACGGCCACTGGCGTTGTAAACTTCGCGCTCGCGCGCGCGCCGTTCCACGCTGTCTCTTTGGGTCCTGAAGCGAGAGCCGTAAAGCCTGCGACCCGGTTTCCCCGGAGCTTGCGTCAAGCCTTCCGCCCCCCTCCCCTGCCCCCCCCCGCCCCTGCCCCCCCCCCCTCACCGCTTCTCGCGATCCTCAGGATTTGTTGGAAAGGCTCGGCGAGCCGAACTTCTTCCCGTGTTTGATTCTTCTGCCTGCTTCGTATCGCCGATTTGTTGACGAAGAGCAACAGCTGTAATTTCGCACTGAGCCGGATGATCGCATCAGGAGTGACCTGCGTCGCGGATCGTGTCATCGTTTTAAGTCGCGCTTTCCTGCAGGTTTTTTTCGTTTTCCCGTCGGCGCGTCGACGTCAGCGTCAAGTATAACCGCGTAATCTGCCGCTGCCACATGGTTTTGAGCGTTCGCTGTCGCGGGTCGATGTCGAAATTGCTCAACCGCCCTGATGGCCGCGTCGTTGAGTTCAATCAACCACTTCGGTTCACCCGCCCCACGAGCCGCCCACCCTAAAGTTCGGTCCTCAACCATGTGGGCGCCACGGTGGCGAGATGTTGACTCCCTCGCCTGGTACACAGGAGGTCGTGGGTTTGATCCCGACTGCTGTAAATTTGGGAGTTTGCGTGCCTCTCTGTGGTCACGTGGATTTTTCTTCGGATCCTCCGGTTTTTCACTCCACCTTTAGAATCAACGTTGAGCTATCGTTTGTGATAGCCAGGTCACTTCTGAAAAAGAAGCTGTATACCTCAGTGGGCCTTACCTGGTAAAATTAAATTCGTTTCGTTTTTTTTTGTTAAGTTTAATGTTGACGGCTGTTTGGTGGCCGGCAGGGCAGTCGCACGGAGGGGGCGTAACCAAATCGGCCGCACCACTCCGAGGAGGTTCATCGCGGCCACGTTGCTGTGCCGCTCTCTGGCTCGTTTCCGCTCGTCGTACGGCACGGCGTGCCGACGTTGTTCGCTCGCCCGCGCGTGCCGGGGGGGGGGGGGGGGGGCTTCCGAGTTCCCGTTGAGGCTCCGCGGCGCGTCGAGGGGGAAATGTCGGTGCAACACGGAAAACACACGGGAGAGGTAAATCAGCTGTAGCCACTAACCAGTCGATTTGGCCTGATCCGAGGCAATCTGGCGAGCTCCGTGGAAGTGGAATCTCAGGCACCATAACGACGTCAATTGCGCAGAACGCATAACGGGAGACAAAGATCGTTCGAGCTTCTACAGAGGACGCTTTGCCAAACTCCAGTCCTCGCGGCCCAGCGTGATTGGTCTACCCGTGTTTGCCGGTGTTAACCGATGGCAGATGAAGTTGTTGATGATTATTAAGCACATCCCAACTGACGTAGAGGAAATAATTCATCTGAATTGGTGCTCCTGCCGCATTACATGGGACTAAGACTACCAAGTAGTGAATGTTACACACCTCACCAGGTACGCATTTAAGGGCAAGTCAATCTACGGGATGCCTAGGACTGGCTCGGATAATCATGTTGGCCGTGTGCGGGAATCGAACTCGGGTTGCCGCGTTCGCAGCGTAGCGTGCTGACCACTGCACCACTGCCGCCCACTACACGCACAGACACACACACGTACGTGATTCCTCCACCATCAATAATTGTGACTCTTTATCCCCAATTCTCTTTTGAGTGTGCTATCGATATCACGTCATGTGACAGCGAATGAATTCAGAACTCTCACCAAGCAGTGTGCTACAGAATGGCCCGTCGAGGTTTAGATTATTCAAGAACTGCTTCTGAGATACCTTCAAGTTATTTTTTTTTATGCACGTGTTCGCAACCCCTTGCCACGGAGAGGAATGTCCGTCACGTGGCAGCTAAACTGATCATTTTTCGATTTAAAGCTTTCGTGACTGCAGGGATCCATCTTCTTGGTTCTTTCGGTAACGTCACGTAGAAGGGAAGTAATAAAATAATAAAAATAAAACATAATAAAACAATTCTCACGACGTTTCGGCTGCTTGCGTTGTGGCCGAAACGTCGTGAGAATTGTTTTATTATGTTTAATTTTTTTTAATGTTATTATTTCCCTTCCACGTGACTTTACCGAAAGAACCAAGAAGATAAACTGATAATTTTAATCCCGAGTGGCCCCTTTTATCCAAATTAAGCGAAAAGGCCACCGAGGAGATGGAGCGAAGAAATCAGCCCGTGTTAACGGGGCTCGGGTTGATCGTCCTAAGCGCGGAATCGTGAGAGGCGGCGACTGCGGCTCGGGAAGGCCTTCCATCCAGCAGCGGATTGCTCGCGGATGAGGATAACGTGATGGTGACGATGAAGTGAAAACGCAAATTGAATTTGATGGGTGAGATATTTTTCTTTTTTTTTCCCCGCGTGTAGTCAACGCTTAGCCCGGGCTGACGCCTTCAACTCCGCCGCACTTGAGAACACCGCCAATAAATTTAATTTCCCCCGTTCCGTTCAGATTTACATCGCGCCAACGCGGGCGGCAGGCGTGAAGGATTGATTGCGGCCCTGGCACTCGGCGTGAGGATTCACTGCCTAGACACGTCAACATGTTGGCCTTTGCACGGCCGGGCCACGGCGGCCTGAGGATCTCGTGGAAACCATAACGACGTGAAGATTGAAAGGTAACGACGTGAAACACGACGGTCGGCATCGGCGGCGGAGTGCCAGGGGGCTGTCGGAGCGTCCCCACGGTGGCGGCCAACAGCGACGTTTTGCTTTTTTCTACTTCTTTGTAAGCAAATTAATTCCGTAAATAGTAATTTTTATTGAATCGGATGCATTTTTTAATATTTGCCAATGTTTCCAGAGCATATACAAATGAAATATTATTTTTCTTCTTTGCAGTAAATTAGTGGGGGGGGAGGGGGGTAGGGGAAAATTAAAGAGTTCTCGGCGGACATGGGGTGGGAGGTATGAATGTTTTATTTCGTTTACTTGTGTATGTATTTATTTAAATATTTTAAAAACCAGGCTTCCTGCTGCACATCATCACCCCTGATGCAGGCCCTTCAGTGATTTACTGCAGGATCAATCCGATTGCAAATTTTTTGCTAAAATTTTTATCGCAGATAGAAGGGAGCCAATGGACTTAATCTTAACAGTAAAAGCTATGCCCCGTGTTATTGTGGGGAGCGGTAGTGTAGCGGTTAGCGCGCTGCGCTACGAACCCAGTGACCCGAGTTTGATTCCGGCCAACACCGGTGATGATTATCTGAACCGGTCCTGGGCCTCCCCTAGGTCGAATCAGCCTCAATGAGTACCCGGTGTGGTGTGAAACATCAGCACTGTGGTGTTGGCCACCCACCCCCTCATGTGCCTTGTTGGCCTTCATAGGCGCTCGCTAACAGCACTTGCCTCAACAGTCTGTTATGTTTCTGTTAATTATGTCAGATGTTCTTGGATGGTATTTGAATCGTTCGTGCGCATAGTTGGTTTTGGTTTGAATATTTTTTTCCAGTTTATCTCGATATTTTACGTTTTACTGTCACTTGTGCCCCAGATCGCTGTGGCAAGTACGACATCTGGAGACTTTAACGTACAATATATTTAAAAGATCCCATTATTATTGCTGCTGCTATTATACACAAAATGTATCGTCGGTTAAAGTACACGGTGGGTAACTCAGTGCGATATGAACCCAGCAACCCCCAGTTTGGTTCCCTTGACAACAATTTGGCCGACGAATCACCGCCGCGTGTTTAACGAGCACGGTGCAAAAGAAGTTCAATTCATGCACGTGCGTTGTCTCCCAGGGTCTGCCACCGCTGTCGGCGAATAATTATGGATCAGGATAAGTGCAGTGAACCTCCGAATCAATGCAGTATCTCAAATCTCACCTGCCTCTCTATTTTTTTTTTATATTTGCTTTATCGGTAACCGCACGGGAAAACCGGTACGTTGGTACGTACGTATGTTGCAAGTATTTCACACCGTAACGTAGCCAACCACGTAAATCGGAAATGTGGGGGAAGGATGACAAAAATGGTTACCAGTTTCCCACGTATACAGAAATGTCTCGACCATTAAATCAAGCGATTGTTTACCATGTTAACTTGGACAAACGAACGGAGTTGCCATTCCGTGATGGTTGGCGCACTGGACTGGCAATCCAGAGGTCGCAAGTTCGATTCCATCTCCCAGCGTGGCGAGTTGAAACAATGGGGCAAGTTTCTTAAATCCGCGCCACCGCCGCTGTCCACCCAGTAGTATATATGGGTAAACCGCAGTTCGTCTGTGATCAGCAAGTTCGTGTGTGGTGGGATTACGTGCGGGTACGACCGCCTCTTCCAACGAACATTTAACTGAAATTTATTTACACGTTCCTGGCTTTCAGAATCGGTAATCAATTCTTGAAACGGTTTCTGGTTTGACAGTTCCCGTTTAATAACCATGGTCCTTTTTTCTCGTAATTTTTCTACGACTTGCTGTTGGCATGAAGCCCATTAGACCAAGAACCCCATGGGATCTCTGGCAGGGCGGTGCGACCCTTCGTGTTAGAGAACGACACGTGGAAGCGGATATCTCAAGTGACCTGTACGTACGCATTTACGTTGAACTTCAAAGCCAACCGTGCTAATCAGAGGTGCGGGGGAAGGGCAATAAAAACGAAATACAAAAAGTAGTTCTAAATAAATGATCTTTCAAACTAGATGATTTAAAAGTGCACAGCTCCCAGTGGCTTCCTAATATCGGAAGGAAGAGCATTCCAGATGGCCACAGGAGCGCATCTGAAAGCGTAGCGCGATGCGCTGACCACCGTCTCTGCTCGATGGAGCTGGCCAAAAGCCGCCGCCGCCGCTGCTGCTGCGGAGTTCGCGTGATGGTTTATGCACCACAGGGCAGCACCTTCCCACCCGCTGCACCGCTTACAGAGTATCGTTCATCGCGCGGCAATAGAACCGGTGTTTAACGTTCTCGGAGATGGAATTTGGTCGCGAGAAAATTTGTTTCGTCCCGAATTTTTTTTTGCCAAAAATGAAACCTCGCTGCACTCGAGAACCCGGCATGTTCGCCGTGGCTGTGGGTGACCGAAAGCCGGATTGGAACCCAGGATCTCGGCCGTGCCATCTCAGCGCTCTGACCTCTGGGGCCACCACCCGCCCCCCCCCCCAACTCTCCCCCACCTCTCTCAGAGCGACGTCGATTCCTCAATTCACAACCTCCAGCCGGGGCGCACGAGAGAGGGAGAGCGAGCGAGCGACGACCCGCGTGGCTATTAATAACGGCGTCGCTCATTTCTCCACTTGACCGCTGGAACCCCTGCCTCCTTTGTTTGGCCTAATTGAACATCTGCTAACAATCGAGTCTTGTTTGTGTTTTTCGAGGGGGCGGTTGCTGCGAGTGTGGCAGAGGGGGGGGGGGGGTGGTGAAGGCACAATCTCGAGTTTTTTTGTTTACTCGAAGCGAGGACGCCGCTCGCGCTGTGCTCGTCACCGCGGGGACGGCATCCCGTTCCGCGGTGGGCCCTCCCGCGTTCCGCCCCGCCAACGTCGCGTGATGGTTGAGGTATCGACGGGCGATGGAACAAAGCAAACGGAAGCAAAAAGGTTTAGCCTCCCACCCCCCCAAAGCAGTCGATGGGCCACAGATTCGTAAATAAAAATATACAGCGACACGTGCCGAATATCAGCTTCAATGCTGTAGCATCGTTGTGATACTGGTAAAAAAAAAGGTCCCATAGGTACGATTAAAATAATTCGAATTGATCTCTCCACTGTAACGAAAGAGCCACTGCCCGCCCACACTATTGCCTCTTGTATATTTTATCCGTCCAGGGCAATGTTGCGGTGACGAACGTGATGCTTTTTCGATTTAAAGCTTTCGTGACTGCAGGGATTCATATTCTGTCTGAATGCTGTCTCCCCGACAGACCTGGTCTTCACCTGATGACGGCTGCTTGCGTTGTGGCCAAAACGTCGTGAGAATTATTTTATTATGTTTTATTTTATTATTTTTATTGTTTCCATTCTACGTGACTTTACCGAAAGAACCAAGAAGGTGATGCTTTTTGTTTGTTATTGTTTTGTGCTCGTTCGCCACTGCTAACGCGGTTGCCGCGAGAGAATTTGCATTCCCTTAATTATGTCACGCGATCCGAGTTGCGATTAAGTTATGCGGCGCGGCGTTCATCGTATGAGATTAATTTTTTTGGTTAGCCATCGAACAAAGAGACGTTTACCGCATCGTGTGCTTTCGGATGCGCTTTGGCGGCCGTCTTCCTTCCGATATTAGGAAACCGCTGGAGCTGTGCACATTTAAATCATCACAATTGGAAACTCATTTCTTTAAAACTGCTTTTTGCGTTGAGTTTGTTGTCCTTCCCCCACAACTCTGACGAGCACAGGCTAGCTACGTACGGCGCAAAAGAAGTTCAGCATGCGCACGTACGTAGTCACTTGACGAATGATTTCCGCGCGCAAACCCCCCAAGTGGACTGGGGGGCACCGTCACTCTGGTGGCACTATTAATTTCTCTCTCTCTCCTTTTCTTTTTCTGTTCACTCTCGTTCAAACCCCCAGCCGGCGTGCGCCAACTTCTTGATTGCCACCCTCGTATTGGGAGGACTTATTGATCGCGCAATTTTTCGTGCTTTGGTGCTGGCCCCGCTTGGTTTTGTAAGATCGCTTTGAAAGGGTGAGACCGCGCGGGGGACGCCGTGTACGCGGGGAGCGGTGGCGCTACGAACCCGGCGGCCCCAGTTCGATTCCCGCTCACGGGCCGACACCGGTGGACGATCGTCTGAACCGCTCCTGGGCCTCCTCTTAGGTCGACTCAGCCTCAAATGAGTACCTGGTGTGATGTGTCAACATCCCTACGAGGGAGACAAAGGCGTCCGGGCGTGGTGTTGTCCACCAACCCCCTCGAGTGCCGTGCCGGCCTCCATAGTTGCTGCTCGCTAACAGCACTTGCCCCAACGGTCTGTTAATTCCATACGGGGGAGCTTTGTCTTTATCTCTGTGACGTCGTCGGTGCCGTTCCCTGACCGTGAGCCGGGCCACGTCGCAGATCTGAGGGAATTTATTTATTTCTTGCCAGCAAGAATAAAATTAAAATATTACTTTGGGGGGGTGGGAGGTGTGGTGGGATGACGGTGGGAATATATATATACATTATATCACTCGAGTTTGAATGGCTGAATGAATGGTCACGCTACCGTACACGTGAGTCGCTGGTTTGAAGTAGTTTTTCGCGAGCAAATTCTGGAATAGTCGATATGAGTTTCCAAGGTGGTTCTCTCATCCCGCATTTGTAAAACGTGCGTTGGTCCGCATTATTTCTCCAACCCTCCGCCATGGGTTAGTAATATTATTGTACGAACAATTGCGCACGTCAAAAGAGAAGGGGGGCATTTTTTGGCGCGTCCACGATTCACAAAATAAGCAAAGTCTCTTTTCTGTTTTCATTGTCATATCAGTCTTCTCAACATCCACTGTACATGTGTATATTGGGGAAAATTGGGGTGGTTGTCAGTGTGTGTGAGGTTTTGTATGTGGGGAGCGGCAGTGTAGCAGTTAGCGGGATGCGCTATGAACCCGGCGACCCGAGTTCGATTCCCGCTCATGGCCTACAGCAGGGACGATTATCTGAACTGATCCTGGGCCTCCCCTAGGTCGACTCGGTC